TATATATATATATGTCTGTATAGAGAAAGATATAAAGAAATGATCTTTATATTCTTTCCGCATTTTTTCTTCATCTACATTCATCAATTTCAAATTCTTCAATCTAATAGGAAGACAATAGGACACGTTTTGATTTTATTAACGACTTTCTTATTTGCCATATTTTTCTATTTTTGTGTATTACAATTGATATATATTATGAAAATGCATAGATAATATAGTATAATAACATAAGTAGAAAAGATGTACCTGAATTTATAAAAAAAAAAAAATCATCAGTAAAATCTACATATCATTTAAAAAATCGGCAAGTTGGATTAAAATGCATTCATAGTTCTAACATTTCTCATTTTTATTATCTTATTAATATGTATTGTGTATTGGATTAAATAATTTCAACTATTTAAACCTTAATTTACGATGCATCACCGCATATTTCTTTCCCCCAATCGATTTAGTTACAAAATGCGTGTATATTACTTAAAGTTAAAAATGAAATTAAATTTGTATAATAATTATTAAGAATGTTTATGACTCGATTCGCATTTCGTATGCATTTCACGATTATTTATTCATTAGAAAGATATTGGTATCTCAATGGTAAGATATCTATCTCGATCAAAATTTACATTTCATGTGTTAATATAATAATAAAGATAATAATAAACAATAATAAAATAATATTAATAAAATGTAGGGAGAATATATTAAGAGTCTATTATACGTTATCTCATGCTACAGATCAATTATATGATCATATATTGACTACAAATATTAACTCACCCACTCAAGCAATTACATTCAATTCGATGTAAAACACTTCAGCATTGTCAGAAAATTCTTAATGCAATTATTCTCTTTAATTGCAATTAATAAAAAGCTTAAAATATAATATTAGTTTTAAGAATTTACGTATATTTTTCAAGCTAGACCTATGCTACACAGAACAAAATTAAAGAATAAATATTACAGATGGTATTGTTGAGAACTGTCTTAATATGCACATTATGTATATACATGGAATCTCATTCTACCATCGAAATATAGTACAAGCTGATTGGTGTGAGTGTTTTTGTCTAACAGCAAAATGCAAGAATGAGTTACAATTGAATTATCAATAAAGCTTATAGAAGGTATATATTGGGATAAAGGAAATTAGATCCAAATTTCACTAAAACAAATCATTTTCAGGTTTGCTAGAGAATAAATCCAACATAAATTTTATACAACTTCGCGTATACATGGATCTCGTTTTCACAATGCTGATGCATTTTTAAAATAATCATCCTTTTTTTTGGGGAGAAGGGATCGCGCTGTAATATCTTTTCCATAATTACATAATAGCAAACTAGAAAAATTATAAGAATCTGTGTAATATCGAAAATAGAAAGTACCTTCAGAAATAAAAAATTACATGTATGTAACATTCACACTTAAATAATATCAATAATGTATCTATTTATCGCTATTTTATAAATACACGTACTTTCTTATAATTAGCCTTGTTTAATTAAATTAACAATAATACAAATAATTATTGAATTTTTATTTGGTTGTCTTCAGATATCAATATTTTCATGTTTATAAAACATATCTGTGGGAGATTATTTTGTCTCACAAAATTTTTGTTTAGTAGATCGATCTGAAGTATTTTCTACTTTCCATGGTATCAATAGTATTTATTTTGCAAACACGACTACGCCTATTCTTATTATTCTGCGTACTTAAAAAAAAAATAATGTCGAAAATAAAAAAAAGAGTTACGATTTATCTTTAATTAAAGCCAGAAATTGTATTGAAGTATATATAGTTACATTCACTTCGGTGTTTCGTCGTGTACAAAAAAAAAAAAACAATATTCTTGTAATTGGCCGATATGTAAAGAAGACATAATTGATGGAATTGTAATTATTACAGCAATCTCAAAAATATTGCGTTTCTATCTGATGAACTGTATCGTAATACAAATCACCAGCAAAAATCACACCTTAAATGGAAGTAAGTGAAGAACGAGCTCGTCAAATAATCACAAGCATAATTTGATACTATGATATTTGATATGCTATGCCTATGATTAATTGTCTAGCTTACCAGTTATCACATTCCAAAGTTAACTGATAAAGTTAGCCACGCGCACGTTTTTTGGAAAATTTTTATAAATCTCTCTCTCTCTCTCTCTTTCCGTATACACACCCGCGCGCACGCACATGCAGATGCACACACATACACACACACATACATAGACACACTCTTTCACACTAAATACTAGATATCATAATCAAAATTCCATATCGCAATTCTATGTAAAGCGAATAAATATTTACAAAACTCTAGCAACATCGACAATTAATTTCCTAAATTGGGTATTCAGTAAGTTATAGTGATTACACAGACTATAATCGAGAATAATCCTTTTGTTACATACATACAACTTAACTCAGAGACACAACTCGTGCTATAATTAAAAGTGCATATAAAACTTAACAATTTCTTTTTATATAGAACCTTTCTCGATGAAGGCAAGTTTGAAATCTAAAACTTTAATAATCGTAATTGTTTAATTAGTTACTTATAATAACAGAAAGACGTATTGTATAACATATTAAATTAGTCTAAACAGTTTTCCTAAACCACACATTTTACGTAATTTAGAATCCGGTAATTAGAATTTGTTAGCACGAACAATCTCTGTTAGTCTGTTACGTTTCAAATTGATTATAGTAATTGATTTCAGACATCTCTCCCTAATAAGAACCTAAGGAAGAATTTAAATCCACATGTGTATCTTTATACATACGTGGAAGTCATCTTACTATCTTTTCCATAATAAGTTGTTACATTTCAATTACTATTAATGTGTCTGTATTTACATATCATAATGGGAAATATTTCGGTTGATTGTGACAGTTTTCCATATAGTACAGTTTGGAACATATAACCATGATAACAATTGTATTGTTTATGTTTTACTACAATCATTCATATCACTATAATTGAACACACTTTTAGATATTCGTTCGATGCATGCTAGTCGAGTATAATTTTCGCGTCAAATTTTATTTTCACAAAGTTAAAAAAAATACATAATATATATTATATATAT